GGTTTCTCAAGACAGGGTTTCTCATGTAGTTTTGGAGCCTGTCTGGGATCTCGCTCTGTAGACTAAGGCTGGCCTCAAACTCACAAAGATCCACCTGACTCTGCCTCCCTAGTGATGGGATTAAACGTGTGCACCACCACTGCCCAGAGAAAGGTTTTGGTTTATCTCATAGTTCCCAGGCTACTGTCCATCATAGTAGGGAAGCCACTGTGTCAGGAGTTAAAAGAACTGTGTTTTCCCAAGACCCAGTTGATATCTCGTTCAACTCTGCTTAGGACACTGATAAGAACAGTAGCTTCTCTTACATCCAATGCACTATATTGCTGTGAATAGACGCCAGTGGTATTTCCAGTGTGTATGTCAATGGGAGGCCAACAGTGACTTTGCTTTCCAGAAAAGAATTGCTGTTCATAGGACAAGAGACAGCATGTTTTTTTTTTTTCATCTTTCCATCATGTCAGAATTTATTGATTAACAACAAATTCATAGCTCCATTGATTTTGTTGGCTGAAATGTGCCATGCTGTTCTGGTTTTTTTTGATAGCTGGCTGAGGCAAACACAGATTCTTTTTGTAGCACAAATCCTAATTGATCTTATAATAAAAACCCGGAGCCAGATATCTGGGTAAATGCTGAAAGATCAGTGGGACAAAAGAACAAGCCACAGCCACCTCTCACCTCATCAACTCCTCAGCCCAAAGGGGAAGATCCTGTCTCCACGAATCCTCAGACTGAATGCCTCTGAGTCCTCAGCTGAAAGGGAGCTGAGCTCCTGTCTCCTCCTGCCTTATATGCCTTTCTCTGCCCAGCCATATCACTTTCCGTCTCAACCTTTCTAGTGCTGGGATTAGAGGTACGTGACTCCCAAGTACTGCTTTTTTAATGCCAAATGCAGTTTATTGAAGGAGGGAGGAAGTCTTAAATATAGGCTTACAGTACAATGGGAGAACCCTGGAGGGCAGAAATTCTCTACTGATGTTTTACAATCTTGCATCTAAGCTGTTAATGCCCATTATGCAGGATACACAGACAAGGAACTTCCTTTAAGCATTCAGGAGGGTGGAACCTGGCAGGGAATTAGCATAGGGAGGATATCAAGGTCAAGGTCAACAAGTAAGGCAACAGTTATCCAAAACAGGGGCCAGGGCCCTACAGGTCCCCCCTTTTACTAAAAAATGAGCCTCTGACTTAGGTTGCATGGGATGTCAGCAGGTCACCTTATCCATCATGGAGATGCCTGTCCAGGCCACACAGGCTCTCTGTCTTAGGTTGGTGAGTGCCCCCCCAGGAATTGCCCATCTCTGAATACCCATTATCATACAGGCTCAATCGTGTGTGAGCTGCAGAATTAACTGCTGCCAAAGATCTCAAAGTGGCACTGGGCTTGCAATCTGTGTGTTCAACACAGAAAAGACCAACAGAAGTCCTAACCCACCCATAGCCAGTGGGCTAAAGGCAACTGAGCCATTCCCTTCCTTAATGAGCTTTACTGAAAATTGGAGTCCTTGTAAGATGGTATCCTAAAAGTAAATGGAACTTGAGTTTATAAATTTATAATTTTCAAAGCCAATCAAAATGTATATAACTATTGAATTAAATTTATCATGCCTGATAGAATGAACGATTAACTAACTGTGGTAGCTACTTTTGCTGCTAGGGTCTCCATTGTGCTAGCTGTAGTAAGCAATTATGAAATGGTAATCCCAGAAACAGTAGCAGTGGTTGCCGCCACTGCTATAACAGCAACAACAGCAGCAGCAATGTCAAATTCTCTTCTGGAATGTGTGGGCATCCACTGGCACGGACACAACTCTCAGAACACAAACCACCAAGGCCCATTTTTCTTGATCCCAGCACAACTTAAGCTGGTAGCTCTGAAAAAGAGCAACTAAGAACCATAAAGAAAAAACAGGCAGCTCACAATGAGCAGAACTAATGGTCTCATAATGGCTACATTCAGGCTCATAAATTTTAAGGTATCTTCAAAGGGGGCTAAATGAATTTTAGGAGGCCAATAAATGTTTCACAGAGCCACTCCTGAAAAGTAGGTATTACACCAGCTTGAAGAGGATTGAGAAAATGAAAAGGCTTAGTTGGCATGCTAATGTTAATAAATGGAGGTCAGTGACCTTCAGGGTTATTTTTAATCTCCAAGGTGTCTGGTTGACATGTTCTCAAACATACTTGAAAAAGCAGTTACCAAACATTACCTTCTGGAGAATCCAACCACATGGCTACAGTTCCTAGGCTTATGTTAATGCTTGCCAAAGCCATGTTGGGCTTTCAACCCCCATTGGCATCAGAAGGGGAGAGTTTTTCACGAAGGCCCAATAGGTCTCTGCCATGTTGGGCTTCAGCGCCAGCCACAGGGTGCACACAGTGCACAGAATCCAAAGAGGAACCTTATTGTCCTGAGGAAAGACATAAACAGATCCCCTGGCCCACACCAACACTAGATTGGGTCTCCTCCAAGTGCTAGTAGAAAGATCCTTCCATTGCTCCAGAGGGTGATTTGCAACAGGAGCCTTCCAGTGCTTATTTCTGGCAGAATCCACCAATAAAAAATTCAAAATATATAAAACATGGGAAAGAATAGAATGTGGAGAAGAATGATGAGCCCCTAGTTCCCCTTTTTACTTTAGCAAAATATGTTTGTTTTTTTTACTAGTTCAAATTTTTCTTTTTTAAATTAATTAATTAATTAATTTTTCTATTATCAGCTTGATACATTATAAATTCTTATCCCAATAGTGAAATGTTTCATTGAGGCTTGCTCAGTAATTGAGTAAAATCAAAACTTATTATAAGCCACAGTCATTCTAGGGTCCCCCATGCTATATATATAGCCTCCATGGTTCTGTGGGTTGCAGTCTGATTGTTCTTTGTTTTATATCTAGAATCCACTTATGAGTGAGTACATACCATGTTTGTCCTTCTGTGTTTGGGTTACCTCACTCAGGATGATTTTTTTCTAGTTCCATTAATTTACCTGCAAATTTCATGCTTTCATTGTTTTTCTCTGCTGAGTAGTACTCCATTGTGTATATGGACCATATTTTCTTAATCCATTCTTCAGTTGATTGGCATCTAGGTTGTTTCTAGGTTCTGGCTATTACAAATAGTGCTGCTATGAACATACTTGAGCAT